CAAATCGATGCCTTAGAAAATTGTTTGACGTCCTTAAGAAAATCAATTTGACCATGTAATATATTCGAGTCAGAACAATATCATTAATATTGCATAACATACACTATTCTACGAACATTTTTATTATAAGTTTAATCTTTTACGAGATACTTCCCGATTGCGAGATAAAGCACTGATTGATATTGACACAAGATTTATGTGAAATTCGCTATCAATTATCGATTACCAGATCAACAGTCGATTAAAAATAAACAGTTCCCTTTAAGTGTTTGCATGTTATTATTTCTCTAAGTATGGGAAATGCGAAAGAATTTCATTTGAAACTTGTATGGTATAAAAGCTGATAGATGAAGATGACAAATGTTCGAGCCTGAGATAACGTCGACATCCCTGTTAAAGTCACGTTTTTCATGTAATGACCTGTATTCTTTATTACATATTCTTGTAGACGATTTAAAAACGCAGTTGAAACACTAGCTACTGTTAGATTTTTCATATTTTTCATATTGTTATCATTCATATTTTAAATAACACAATGGAACCCAAAAGCGAGCATCAAGCGAGCGTAAATAACTTGCGGAAAGTAATATTTAATATTTATTTTCTGTAACTTTCCATAAGATTCAGAATGTTATGTACATCAAAGTATTCGCGTGTTTTCTTTACAGAAAATCAAAATGACTTGCATGAATGAACAGGATCATATTGCACGATAAGAGACAACAGAGATGTTGAAATAAAATGAAGTTCAACTGAAAATTAGTACGTATAAATATTAATTAATAGTGCATTATCTATTTATCTAATTATCATATTAAATTCTTCATTGAAACCTACAAGTAGGAATAAAATGTTTTAACAAAGAGCATTCTGCAAATGCGATCCGTTACGGCATATTTTTCTTGGAATGGTATAAGTTTGTTGGATGGCTTAAATGCCTATATGTGCCTATTAAATCCATTGGCATCTGTAAGATCAAAAATGTTAAAATTTTATTTATCATTAATTCGCTTTGACGTTAAAATCAATAATTCTATTTAATTGCCAGCTTTAGTAGTTACAATTAGTAACTTCATAAGTTTTACTAACTAGTAATTTCAATACTTATTAGTGATATCAAAATTGAAATGTACACTAACATCTTCAATATGAGCGCCCAATATTTGGAAAAGAGGACTTCCGGTTTGAGAAGCCTGCCAGGGCCATAAGAAACACAGCAGTAATTTTCTCTTAATATTCACTCCATTCACTAGCTGTCACGAAAAATCACCTTGGCTATACGATACCATAAAGATCTTCTGTTGCTTTGTTTGCTCGATAATGTGATCGATCGTTGCTAGAATGTCGTATATATCAATTTCATGCCAACTGTACAAACGGACCAATTACTATTAAAATACAATGACTTGATTTCTAAGAATAAATCTTAATGTGTAGTTACTTCATTCCTGAATATTCAAAAGTCAGGTTCAAATTTTTCCGCGAGTATCGATTACCGTGCACATTACCCAGCCATACGTCGAGAAATTCACCGCTACTTAAAAACGTTACGAAGTCAACGATTTTATGTGTCTAAGGTTTAAAAAGTATAATTGTATAATTAGAAATTGTATAATTAGAAAAGAATAAAGTAGAAATTAAATCAGAATTTTGTGAAAATGGAATTGTATTTAACAATGAATAGATATAATGTACAACGATTTTCAAAAGTTTACGGCCAGATCATTTTTGGTACTTTTCTCCCATATGTACCAATTTCACTTTCCTTTGCTCAACATTATAGAACTGTGAAAATGAGGAAAAAAAAGTAAATGATTATTTGGATAATATGTGCCTAAGCCTTTTCAGAACTTGCCACAAGCCACATGGGCCAGGTGTCTAAAATTCCATAAAGAAATGATAAAGCTGCTTTATTATCAAAAGACATTTCTTTGATCATGCGATCCTATCCAGTTGCAAAGTATAACCATTCTGTATAGCAACTTCATAACTTTTGGCTGGTTATTCCGCTTTCTGCGCAATTTCTGTTTTAGAAAAGATGCTTGTATTCATTTCAATGTAATTTAGTTTCAAAGTTATAGTAACACTTTTTCATTTACACTTTCATATGTATGTGACTTTAGTTGTTTAGAAATAAATATAAATATGTAAAAATATACAAATAAAACAATGAAGTAAATGAATGAATTTACACAGCAAAATTTTGAGGAGATACTTTTATATTATAAAATGTTCATAATTATATTATTCCGATAATTTCTATGTAAGTAATATTTCTAATACAATTGTAGTCTCAAAAATCATAAAATGTGCATATAGATAGCTTGGAACTGATGATACAATTTTCAATAAAATTTACTTACTTACGGGGGTTAGAACTTCATCTTCGACAGTGATGTCAAAAATTTCGTTTGTCTTGTGTTGCGCTATAAAGGATACAGCAGCCATGGTTGTCGGCAATGTGCAACATAAAATTAATTTTCTGAACATATTGTTATGTGTAACACGTGTTTAATTGTAAGCCATGACGAATTGTTGTCCAAGCATATACAGATTACCGTTTTGTATAAACGTAACGCGTAAAAGATAAGGGCAACATAAACATAGGAATATTAAAAATATCTCTTATGCTTGATATGATGAGATTTACAAAAAGAAAATGTTTCTTAAACCGATGTTTTTTTAACCAAAAAATAAGTTAATTCTTTCATATAGGCAATTTCCCAATAAATCGATTTCTTATAAAGAATTTCCCAATAATCAAATTTGTTTGGTATCATTAGAAAAATCATCTATACCACTCACATTAACGCATAATTTATCTTTTTGCACGAACAGTTTTTTTATAATCTTAATTTTTCATGAGATAAACGAAACACCTTATATTTGTTACCAAGTTCTCAGGTGGTATATTTCTATGTCAAAAAATAATGAATTGTATCGCTATCAATTATCCATTATCAGATCAATTGTCAATTAAAAATATACACTGTGTTCGTTCTACGTGCCTACACATTATTTCTGAATCAGAAATGCGAAGAAATGGTTCATTTCAAAAATGTAGGTTATAAGATGACATGTGATAATCGTTTGACTTTGAGATCCCGTGAACGACAAAGAATCTCGTGAATGTCACGTTTAAATGTATGAATAAGACCCTACATTTTCTTGATGCATATTTTTATAAAAGACATATTACAAACATTAGGTACTTTTGTATTTTTCAAAAACTTTTGTTGAGTTACTAACTCCAAAAACAACTATTGCAGCCAATAGTAAATCACATTTATTGCAATCGAATTTGGTTTATCATGGTAGTTTCAAAAAAACCAAGTTAGTAAAAACCAATACATACAATATTTGTATGAAAAATATTTTCGTATTTCTCATACTGACAAAGATAATAACGTTCTTAAAATGGACATACTGTGTGTATTCCCTAAGACAAAAATGTAGTACACTCCAAATTTTCTTATATTATATGTCTTAGAGAGAATGCGTATCTTATTACATCAGTATTCTTAGGCGTGAATGCATGTATAATATATTGAATGTCATTACCGAGATGCAATTTTTCAGAAGTACAAGCGATAATCTAAATATTGCGCAATCGCATGGGAAGCGGCCGCATAATCATTTGAGGAAAAACTGATTAGTACGATGAGATGGAAATAAACTTTATTACAGAACAATTAAGTAGTAAACAATATATTGAAATGATTGATGCACACATTAACATTTATGCAATACGAAATGCCGGAAATAAGTATATTTTTAAACACATGATAACACGCCATAATAACGGCCATATACACCGTCAAAGCAACCGTCAAACAAATACTTTGTAAACAAAAAAATTTGTATTTTAGTCTCTGGATTCAAATATTGTAAAAAATTGTTGGACCTTGGGGAGGTCCGTACACCGGAATGACAATTCGCAAATATTAATGAATTTAAAAAATATATTCTAGAGGTGTGAGAAGAACTAAGCCAAAAAATCATTAAAAAACTATGTAAATCTTTGCCTGAAAGAATAGCTGCAGACAACTAACCCGTTTCTTTTATTCCTATTCATAATGTATCACGAAATATGTTACCATTTTGACTCTCTAAGAATCTCTATTTTTTTTTAATAACACAAAATGTATTGCAAAAAATTTAATTTGTGTTATTTATATATATTGATAAAAATACTACGAAAAAATGCATGTAGGAAATATTTTGTATTTATTAATAAGAAAAAATTAATAAGAAATTTAATAAGAATTTAATAAGAAATTTAATAAGAAAAAATTTGATAATTTTTAAACGTACTTTTTTTTGTGCCAGGGGTGTATATCACCAGTCTAACTATCAGAAAGATAAATCTTTTACTAATATTACGATATATGACTTGTACCGAATGCGTTATAAATTTTCAGTTCTTTGTCTTTTTGCCTAGAGAGAATGCACAAACAATTAAACTGTGGTATTTTAATGCTCAATATAAATCTTTAATTAATTATGTGCACGGTTTAGAAGAAAATAAATATGAATAAATAAGAACAACATCAATAAATTAATTCGAAGAAATCTGCTACTTATCAGTTAATTTCTAAACTTGTAAATATTCAGTTAGTTTTTGAATTTGTAAATATTCAAAATCAAAGTATTTGTTTATTGTTTATTATTAATAATTGTAAATATTTGTTTATTACTTATATCACACTTGTAGGTTTCTAATACTAGCTGCGGATTTGATAAATGACCCGTACGAAATAAGACACTTAAAGAAAAAAATTAATTAAAATATCTAATTACTTTCTCCTTGTGTTACAAAAATTATTTTTTATATGCATCAATAAAGAATTACTATCTTTTATTTTTAAAAGCGAATAAGAGATACAATTCGGTGCACGAAACATATATTTTACGGTGCTGGACATCGAGTTTTACGTCTAACAATAAGTCTCATTTAAATTTTAAAACTATATTCTCAATAAGATTTTATTATAGCACATATTATATAAATTATATTATATATAAATTATATATATAGTATGAATTAAATGTAATATATGTTGTATACATAAATTATATTGTACAACTTAAATAACATTAGATTGCCTAGCAAATTTGACTTTCTATTTATTTATCAGAAAAGTTTCAGTGAAATCGTCAAGTGGAAGGCAAAATTTACTATACAAAATAATAGGTTGAGTAAAAAGTAATTTCGTATTCCCCTGATAGACGATTTCAAGATAGCATAACTCTGGTAATATTAATCAGATCTATTAAAAAAGTAATTAAGAAAAAAAAGTTATGATATTCGTTTATTCAATCAAAGATTATTGTGTCTTGAAAATGAGTGAAATTAAAAAAGAAAATCGATACATTTTGAAATTTTATTACAAAAAAAGGGAAGAAGTAAGGTTGCTAAAAATATTTGTGATGTTTATGGACATGATGCATATCAGTATAATTGGCATAAAGCCAATTTTGATGACAAAAATGCACCTCACTCTGATCACTGGAAAAGTCGATGAAATCAAAGAAAAAATTGAGCAAGACCGGCACAATAACAGTCATGATATCGATAAGAAACTAAGCATCGACCACAAAACAGTTCTAAACCATTTGAAGAAGGCTTGATAAAAGAAAAAACTGAATGTTTGGGTACCACATGATTTAATGAATCGAATTTCTCTGCAACTCCGTCAAAAATTGAGAGAGCTTGGCTCGGAAATTTTGATGCATCCACTATATAGATCTTGAATCATTAGACTATCATTTCGATCTCTACAAAACACTCTTGTAAAGTTGGTGTAAAGAGAACTGTGATAATCACATGTCGCAATTTTTCGGGTGGAAATCACAGTTCCACAGTGACACGATTATAGTTTCACCTCAAAAATGGCAGAAGATGGTTTCATTTTTGCACCAAAATACGAAATTACTTTTTACTCAATCCAATTTTTTGAAAAGATTTATAATAAAAATATCGAAAACTTATCGCCACGACCGATCAAATATTTCTGTGATTTTTACTTATAGACTTGTATACGAAAATAGCCAAACTTCCTATAGATATACACTTACGTTTAGACAAAGTTCAAGCCATTTTTATATGGCAGAAAACACTATATAAACAAGATGTAATGAAAAAACAAAAAGAAACTCGTATTCACTTATAACTTTATTAACACAAACAATAACAACTTTGTAAAAAGAATAAAAAAGCGAACATTAAACGTAAATTACTTGCAAAAAGTAATAATAATATTTATTTTCTATGCTGTTCCATGAAATTCAAAATTTTATTGTATACCAAAGGGTTTACATTATTTCCTCACAAGAAATCGAAGTGCGCGAAATTGTCGATTTGTATCAAAGATTTTTGACCATTGGGTAGTTTTTCGT